GGCTAGAGAAGGACTCGAGGCGACCAGACTAAAACATGACATCAATGTATGAAGTGTTTGACTGTTGATTTGAACCGTGTAGGGGGGCGATGCAGACTAGCCAGACCGGTTGGGGTCGTGGAAACAGGAGAAACCAGTGGCTGAAGACTTACTCTAGGTGATATGTCTCAGAACCGATGTTAGTGGTGCATATGTATACACACATTATCATCGTCTTAACCAGGCTATGCCGAATCTCACCATTTTCTCATTCTGCCGTCCTCTCTTTTCTTACTTTATATCTCTTTTGACTGAATTTCCTTTCCTTCTTCATCTTTCACTTCACTGCCTTGTTTACTTGATGTAGAGTGATACAAGGTATGGCAACTTTCAGATTATCTCTTCTGCTCAGAACGTTTTTAATGAGCAACGCAAGATTATTCTCAATTTGTTCATTAATTACAGATATCCGGGAAATTTTCAAACTAAACTTCCTTAATCCATAAAAAGAAACTGCAGTCGCCAGATGACATTACCAGTGAAATTGTAATACTGGGGTCATAAAAAGGTTATTTAATGCAGTAAACTCATGCCACGTATTTTCTAGTCGACTGATTCTGAGTTTACGAATCTAAGACAGACTATGTGATTTCTCCTTCACCATGTTTTGACCAGTCAAAGTGACCTTATAGAGTTGGTTACATTAGGATTAGGCAGGTTTGTAGGCAAATTTTCAAACGCTATTTATAGTTGTGATAATAGACAGTGGAAACCAGGACGCGTAATTCGTCCTATTCAGGACCTGTCAATTCAATATACCTATCTCTTTGAGAGTGATATTGATTGCAGTAAAACTCCAATTCAGGACCAATAACATAAATACCGTCTGTGATTGTTAAGCAAAAAACAGACAAGATCGATACGGAACTCCGTGCTTTCGAAATTACTTACCAATTCCAGTTGATCTAATCCATGTTTTACAATTCCATCTTTTATACCTGCAGAAGTCAAGTTTGTGTTCTCTCCTTTCTCAGTCATTCGCATAGCTTATCAATACAAACATGACGCTTTATTCTATTCATCTTACAACATACTAGCATTGTTATTAATGTTATCATTAGTATTGCACTTTTAGCTACTTTATTCTTTCATATTCCTCTCTAATTATTCCCATGTAACTTCGACGGAATTCATGTCCCACCTTAGACTTGAACACACGTCACCCAGTGCTGTAGTCAGTGACACTACCAATGAGCTATTTGGGCCACGACTGACCTCCTGTAGAACTGGATTACATACATTGACTGGTTACTGGATAGAAAAAGACTGATATGAACGTAAGCAAATGTGTACAGAAGTGGAGAGAAGTTAAAAAGTGAAGGTTTGTTAAGAGTCAATTGAGAAGAACCATTTCTTCACTAGAATTATTTCTTGTTAATGTTAAGTGGTTAAAACTATTTTGTGGTATAGTACCGAAATCTAGCAAATAATGTAGTAATGATGGATAGTCCCCTAGCAGTGTAATCCAGGATGCGCATTTCGTCCTATTTAAGACCGATTCGTCAGCTGGATGTACCTGCACCCCACTGAGTGTTGTTCTTACCTAGATTCGACCTCAGGACCCATCACTTCAAACGCCAGAGCGTTATCCACTAGACCATTGAGCCACGATAGTCACTTCTTGTACAATAGGTAGTCTTAGTGTGCCAGCAGTGGAATCCACTATCCATTATTAATTTATAATTAAAACACAGGCAATATCGAGGCACCCACAAAGGGGCCCATATGTCAATAGAGACTAATCAATTCGGTCGAATCAACAACGGTATAATACAAGCAATAACACTAACAAATAATGGTTAAAAAAATCAGACAATACATTTAGACTGTTTGATGGGGTAAACTTTCACTCTACTTGAAAGAGTTAAGGAACATGTCAAAGACAATACTTTATGATTCTATTTACGAAGGACTCCAAGCAAATGAGAGAAAATACACTAATATAGAAACCAAACCCATGGGTTGTTGCATCTGTATATTAGAAGGAATATGAATAAAGACAGATGTGTTAGACACAAGGAATCAGCCAGCAAGAAGCCTAGAGCTTAGGTTTCGTGACAGTTGACACTCAACGGTGTAGCATATCTGCAAAGATGAAGAAACCCACGTTCCTTTAGAGGTTACCCACTTTATTCCGCTGTGCACTAAGTGTAGGATCTTATGCTGACCCTGACTTATAGATGCTATCAGAGATTTCAATCGGCACCAATCAATGCTAAAGTCAAAGACATCTGTCACTAAGCTACTTAAGTTTCGTAGGACTGTCTCCAAGACTGGATTATGAGTCAGTCACCCGATAGTGACCAATATAGTTCCAAGTTCTAAAAGTTAACCATTGGTCCCAGTCTACAGATCAAGACTAGTGTAGAAGCTGCCACACTGCTACTTCTTTTCGTACACAAACCAGAAACTACATAAAGCTGCTAAAACCGATCCTAAAGGGAGAACAAGCGAAATTTAACTTCATAAAGTCACTAGGTTTTCCTATCTTCATCCCACTGATGTGATTCAACAAAGGTAGGAAAGGGAATAGAACGCATTCACCTATCTTGTGCACATACGTGCGCTAGGCAATGAACCATACCTATTATGTGAATGTTAGTGATACCACCTGGCTGCCCAAACTTCGGTAGGTGGAACGAAGCTCAAACCCGTGACCCGCTGGTTGATAGTCACCTCCCTAAACCACTTAACCACAGCTTCACACAAGACAGAAAAACTATTACCTATCTCTATAAAGAAGTTACTAAGACTAAGCTAAAACATGAGACTGACACTTGTAAAAATGTTATAAAGAAGAAAGCTTGTAAGGTATGTTGGCGAATTTGGTGTCACTTGATAAGAAATAATACCAATTGAAGAAGTCTCAAGTGATAAGAGACAGTTATAAGGTGGAAGCCCGCCTTTTCTTTGATTTTCATAACCTGCCGAAGAAAAAGGCATCTATAGAGATAACAACATATTTCTATTCAAGTCAGCCGTCTTCAAGTTTTACTGCTAAAAAGCCCTTCAATAAATCTTGTTAAAGCAACTAGTGAGTATTAAAACGAAGTACTAATTCCCATTTCTTAACATGAAAACAGTATTCATACAAGATATCTCTCAGGGGGATACGTTAGATGGATTCAAGCGAGAAAAAATATAATTTTATTACGCAATGTCACCAATGTTCTCCAAACACTAACTTCAATCGTCTCTAGGACTCCAACCAGGTAGCATGCACCTCACTACATGATTCACAACACTCGGAGACTTCGTGAAACCAAATCGCTTTTTCGTCCATCTACCTATAGCTTTCCTCCAACAACAAAATAGTGCACCGGAGCAGATGGTGTCCAGGCATGCATAAAAGGTTTCAACTAGCTTAGCCGAAAGGGGTTTACAAACTCACCAACTGATTACGTACACCTAAGACTCTATCCCTAACGTCTGTATTACGGACGTGTTGACCATACCACACAGACAACATTCCCCTAACATTTAAAGCCTTGTTTTACCTTTCAACTTAAAAGTCAACCATAGATAATTTTGAGAAGTGATAAATCCCTGTAAATGCATAACACATCAGCGTAAGCACATGTATGACGATATGATCATCCATGACGGACACTAATCGATATAAACAACTAGTCTGACACCTTACGGTAAGTTCAGGCGAAAATAGGAATGCTCCAATATAAAAGCTTCCTGGGCACTTTCTTCTGAGGTAGGACAGCGTTATAAGGGGGGAATGAGTCAACCAGAACCGTATTCCAACAAACCTTCAACGCTTGCCATTTCTTACAATCTTGTCCTGGTAAACACTTGTCTCCAGTCAGCCCAAACCTGTTAAGGAGATATTGTCTCAACTAGTGTTTGTTGACAACGATGGACGCAGACGGATCCTGTGGCTGTAAACAATCAATATAGGACTGTTGCTCTTTTAAGATGACTTGATTACACTAAGATTATCAGCTAGTCGGGGCAAGTTTGTGTGCTTGTTTTATTAGATACGAAACATAAACAGCCACGAAATCATTCACTCGGCTGGAAGAGAAGAGTATCTAGTTTGTATCTGATATCAAAGTAGACAAAGTTGTGTAAATAATTTAAGAGTAGAGGTTAGTTAAAACATTTAAGCTTTAAAATATGTCAATGAGTGAATACATCTGCACCACTGTTAACAATTTTTAGTCATGACACCAAGAGTCAGTCATCAGCCACTGACTCACATCCTATTGCACATCCCCCAGCCAGGTAGGCTAAATCTCCCATCACGAGTCAGACCAAAAGTCAGATTTCATCGACTGGCTACGAAAATACCTGTGATCAAAACGACGTAATTACTTCATATTTTCTACTTTGAACGGTTACGTCTCATAGCCGTATAACAGGACAAAATGGACTGCAGCGCAACATACTCGTCCTCTGATAAATAGTCGGATATCTCGCCGTTAAACGCCACAGATGACGTAAGTTGATAAATGCTGAACGGATCTTCAACCGAGTACTCCCTATAGAAGTTATGTAAACCATGTAGGCTTTTTAAAAGTGATGCAAGTATATGAGACGGTCGTAAACAAACACTACAATCATGCGAAGTGAAACACCCTACATGATTCAGTATGATAATAAGACGAAATGCATCAAAACCTAACGAGCCACCTCATAGTAACTCTTACAATAATTCTTTGAACTAGAAATAGCTTTACCAGTCGAAATAAAAAGTTGCAAATGCAAACACACTATTTGCAATGACCAAAAAAATGAAACAGAAGTATCAAACATTAGAAACTTCTCTACGTTTGGTGTGACAGGTAATCTACTCTCATTGGTAGTCTTTTCGCACTAACTCTCATTAGTGAAGCTATTAAATATTGACTAGTCCGCATTACCACGGGGTCTGACACCAGTAATTATTGTTGTTACACATAACACTGCACCAGTATACAGGACGGAAAACAGTGAAAACAGATTAAGGCGCCTAGTGACTAAAATGCATTGATATGGAAGAGTACTAATAAGGTTTACAGTCAATGAGGACAATATGCCCATAAGGCTAGTTATGCAGTGGATAAACAGGTGCTTGATATTTAAAATTAATGTAAGCCTGACCCGCATATCTTGGAACCAACGACTACATGAGCCTCCTATAACTGTAACAAAGAAAGATATTCTCAGTAAACATATGAAAGTGTAGGATAGTCGGGGCGTATGTATAAAACTCGAAAAACGCGTTCGTTTAAAGGCAAAATTTGGTAAATCAATTCAGTCCCTGCAATAAATCACCTAACTGAAAACATTTTACAAAAAGCAAAGAGCATGTTACAACTAAATAGCAACGGAAATCTCAGCAATGAATGCTAACATTAGCTAAGGATCATGTTATATCGAATCTGAACATAGGTCAAAAATAAGGTTAAAACCCAGGATGCGTTCAAGAAACACTCAAAAAAGACTGTCACCTCGCACTGGATAACATCAGAATAAACAGCGTTGTGATCGCGGAAGAGGTTAAAGTGGAAATATTATTTCATCACGATGGCTGATGTACAATGATAAATAAAATGTTCTTTATGTAGCTCATTCAAAATGTTCCTGGCTCATTCGCACACACCGGCAGACTTTCCGTTTAAACTCAGCGAAGTCCTCTCGAAATTCTTTCTAAATACAAAACCGATCAATGCACTTAATAAAGACCTACCGCCGCATCAACATTGGCAGGACTGTCGGGATTGGGCTCTGCAAGCATCGAAATGACGGAGGTAATAATTGTTTCCACAGTATGCACTGGAAGCCATCTTTCTTCGGGCCTTTCATAACCCCACCTATCTTCCCCAGGTTCATGAAGAATAGATATACAGACATCTCCATCCCGAGCGATATTTGGATGCCAGATGTCTGTAACAAACCGCATTTTAGGGGGGTGATTGGGATAATCTTGTGGGAAATCTAGCTCAGCACGAAAATAACCACCTTCACTACACAAAATTACTAAAGTAGTTAAGCTTACTAGAGCGTGTCAGGTGGGCCCATAATCAGCACTTGCCATTTGAATATATTATCATCATCAACCAACCCAGCTGAAAAACCCTCAGTTGCACTTTTACTCAGTTCTATGAATAAGGAAGTAGTGAATCTGTTAGTCTCACGACAGAAAAGAGAAATTTTAACATTGTTTTAAGCTCAACATACCACATAACTGTTTTTTCAGTAGGAGTGTAGATGCTGAACTACACATGTTATTAGATTGCAGTCCTCGATGTTAAACACCGCGGCCTGTTGTATCTTGAAAGACTGAAAAAACAACTTGCCTGGCGAGAGATTTTGGATAAATTACGAAGTACCTCACAGTCAGAAATGAAAATGACGAAACGTGCAATCTTTCTGCTCTTTCTATATGTTTGATCCTATGGTTTTCAGCCAATCTTCTTTAGTTTGACGTCATTCTGATCAGTTAAGTTGCTCCTACTTTCAATATTTGGTCTCTAAATTTTCTTCGTTTACCTACACAATTCAAATCACATTTTTTCTCTTGACTTACCGTAGCTTCACCCTATCCTAACCTAAATGACGGCTGAAATTATTACCTGAAAACAATATAGAAGTTAACTGTTGAAATTAGAATATGTTATTGTGACTAGTGGTATCATACATTACAAGATTTCCCAGTCAAACGCTTATTGTCTTTTGCTGGACGCCTCGTTGCAGGCGACCCAGCCGAAATATTGGACAGAACTTGCAGTGAACCTTTTCGGCATTAATTACCACCAAGTTTGGGTGAATGCTTTAAGCACCTTAAATATTGGCTAAATAACCCACTACGGCGTCACCGGGTTTCCCTAGCCTCTTAAATTGTATCTCAAAGCGCAGGTATATACCTCTTGATGGTCTCTATTTTATATCTTTCTATGGGCCAAGTAACAGCTTTGTACTCAAGGCTCACGGTCCAGCCAACTGTAGATGGGTGAGTCATGATTTTTCTCTAAACTAACCTTTTTACTTGATATCTTGATAACTACACTCGCTAGGTTGGACAGACAGTCGTCGACCCTTAAATGACCAAGGTCAGTTTAAAAAGCGGGATAATAATGTGATTTTCCTTGTTATTTGGTTATCTTTACGCCACTACCACTAAAACTATAATAGCCGAGTGTGAGGTTGAAAAGGAACTACTGAATCTACTGGGGTCACCATCTTGCAGTATCTATAATAAAGCTTGCTTTTCTGTGGGCTATGATTTCGACCCCAGGCCACTCACGAGATTAGCTACTGCACGTATATTTCAGCCTAGTAAAATAACTTAACTACAGGTAATTTTTGTTGACTCACACTGTTGAGACATTTCAGTCCATTTATAGTCACTAGATGTATGTGTAAACTGGGCTATTGCAAATTTGTTCCACTGCTCTTTGGTCTAGGCTCCCATTCAGATAACTGTTCTTCAACGTTTGTGATACGTGACTCCTTGGGCGCTCTAAAATCACACCCAACAAAGTCTAATGAAAACTGGGCAGAGGACATTTGGAGGCACTCATGCAGTGCATTATCCAGCCACGCTTACCTTGTAAGATGAAGGTATGGCTAAGGAGTATCTCGTGAAAACATTGCGTGTGTTATTTTAAAAATACTCCCTGATTTCGTTAAATACTTCAAAAGCAATCGTACTAGGGATTTTCGTCGTGAAATTCAACATGATGATATCATTCCAGGCATTGAAAAAGCCGTCAGGAGAGGAAAGAAAATGAGGTATTTCCAAGGCACAGTGAGGTATGCTGAGACGCAAACTGCTACTATTGCTTCTTGCGGACGAACTGTCTATCATCTCCAGATGTAAAAGTTCCCGAGCACGCACGCGAATGTCCCTCCATACTGATGAAAATAGTTTCAGATGGAATCGGCGTCATCGACTGATGGCTTAAACATCCATGTAATGAGCACAAAATTCATAGGTAGGTCCTCATTAACAGATACTATGATAAAAGCCCTAGATGTAAGTCATTTCCCGAAATCATTGGCTTAGAGTTTGACGAGATTCTGAGCCTCGCGGCTTTAGCAGACTGGCTGGCCTAAAGGAAATAAGGTCACCCATCTATTCTATGTGGCACACCATAGCGTTACTTTGCATTGTTAGTGAGCAACCCCATAGCCGGTTGATCGATATACATCGATGTTTTGCCACCGTCTATCAAACGCACTATTCCTACCTGGATGCCCTACTGTGCTCTTTCTTGGTTTCGCGATTGGCCTCCGCCCTCGTCAAGTTCCCACAGGATCATTGCGAAAAGTCTTAGTTCATAACCGTTCCTCTTGTTCTTCAAGTAGTTTATTGGTCTTACCCCTGTCGAAACGGGTATGTGATCTTTTTGATTTCATGACTGCAAGAGTAGTAGTTACAGCATCTCCCGGCCTTCAGTCTGCTGGTCTGAGATGCCAGCTTGCAGGAAACTGAAAAGCTGCTTAGTTTCACAAGCAATCGCTTTGGCTTATTTTTATACTTAAAGGTGTGAAAGTCTTCGGTAGGTTCACCACACATTTTAGTGCTTCATGTTGATGGATATGCGGTGTAAAGGACTGCTGGTTATGCACTTCAACTCACGATGTTGCTGGCAAGTCAACCAGCCTGTAAAATTCACTTTAGAGTTAGGTGGCTAAATATCTGCTAAAAATCTAGACTGCATCCGGCCCACCATAAGCGATTGAATTTGTCAACCACTACCGTGAGTTTACTTCGTCTTTAAACCACTCGGCTGGTAAATAAACATGAAGCAGAATAACAACGGGTGAGATTGGTATCATTTGGCAAACACCAAGACCCTATACTTACTAACGAATACAATGGATGACTGCATTTCCATGCATTCAAATGTTCTTAGCTTCGAGCCAAGCAGGCTGCACACATTGCATACTAAGATTAAGAGGGGGACAACCAGAAGGAAGGAGATGGGACCAAGGTGTGCCACTCTTTTTATTCACTGTCGCCTCTATACCTTTTTCTTATCTTACGAGTTTTCTCACAAGGACTCAGCATTCTTCACTTGCTATGACGAGGTTGAAGGAGTGAGCCGGGTCAACGTGTCAAGTAGGATTCAGGCCGCGGAGTTCTATAGTTGGGACGTCGGTTCATGTAATGTAACTGATCCCATGTAAGTTGTTCAGGTCACAAAAGGCCAAGGTCAACAAACCGCCGAATAGATAAATAATAGACAGTATCTGAAAATGTCCCTTTGACAATAGGATTCGACTCCGGAAAGATTATTTCTTTATCCTACCTGTATCTTTCTCCGCCTTGTTCATTTTATGCGAGATTGCACCAACGATACTCCCGCGAGGGCCATTTCTGGGGGGAGGCTGATGTAGCGTTCAGCAGACTTGACCGTGAATTTCTATCTATTGTGAGCCTCGTATTTGCCACTGGCTTTGATTGAATGATAACTTTTCATGTACCTGTTCAAGCTCACCACGTTCGCTTGCCCACTAGAGTGCTTGAAATATACACATTGTGCTACTGTCATTGCCCTCTTGCTTGTTACGTTGTGGCTGTCTAAAGTAAACTGTTCTAAGCGTTAGCCATAATCTCCAGGTTCAACGAAACCATATTCGGATTGTGGGTAAATCGGTCGGCAAACAAGGAAACTTATTTAGTGAACTCTGAATACATGTGTCTTGAGATGTTTGTCATACCTGCATCTACTTCAAATGGAAACGTAACACAGATACGCATTGTAGGAAATATGTTCCGGTTCAATCAGCCGACAATTCTTATGGGGAAATATTTTAAGCCCTCCAGCTCCTCACGGCAGAAATGCAGCGAAATTAAGTATTTTGAGACCACAGTTTTGTTCCTTCCCGAACCATCTTTCTCAGATATGCACACATCGGGCATCACGTTTGTTGTAACTGGACTGAATTCTGCTCTGCCAACGGACACATCTTGACTTAGATGAGTAAGTGGCCTAGTCGGCCAGTTCACCCGCGCAGCCTCCTTCTTGCTTCCCTAAGTACCGGGTGCTGTTACGATTCACGGCATGTACGAACAGTGTCTGTGCATGACCTGTATGATGATATGCTTAGGCATTACTATCTTAGTCAAGTGTCATGTATTCCCTCACATTCCAGCTTGTTAGGTCCCATCCTCTGTTCAGAAGAGCCAAAATATATCGGCAAATATATAACTCAGGCAGTCATAAGTTGGCAACTAAATTCCCAGCGTCCCTCAAAAGTTCAAAAATTTTGCCGTTTACCAGCACCCATTGAAGACCGATTCCCTATGTACTCCTTAAAGGATTCATTCGAAATGATCAAATCAATCGGTAACATTATGCTAAAAATAAGACCACGTGTTCATTAGGCGCTAACTCACTATTTCTCCAATGTCACTTTGGCCAAGATAGTTGATATTTTGAGTGACCATAAATTTATGTACAGTCTTTCAAACCAATCCATCTGCATCGCCTAATAGAGATGCTACTCCTATGTATGGGCAAGATTAAATTTATATTAGACGAAAGTCCCAGTCAAGATGATGGTCTCGCCATCGGTAGCCTATTGGACCCCACTTTAGCTGGCATATTTATGTCGCATGTGGAAAACTTAGCGGAGAATCTAATTGAGCAGTCCGATCCACACTGAAGATACAGAGATGACATCCCTATCAAATGTGATAACTCAAGTAGGTCCACTTAAATTCTAAACCAAGCGAATGAAGTGCAGGGAAAATGTTGAGGATGATGATAAATGCCGGCCTTTCTCGGACATATTGGTAGGTCATTGGTAGGACGGATGCATTGAATGATCTATCCGCAGAAAACCTACATAAACAGGGTATCGAGTGAGTTATATGGCTTTTTTCCATTCCAGTACAAGTGAACGTAAGTCAAGTGTTTATTCAATCAGATTCAGCGAATATGCACAAATGACACTCTGGAAGATGGGAAAATTGAAAAACTGTCAGAAAGTAACTATCCACCAAAATTTTTCGGCCAGCGCAGACAAGTGTCTTTATTGGTCCTCCTTACAGAAGTGACTCTCGTGGTACAATCCTTAGGCGGAGAACTAATGCTACCATTAGAAGGACTCACTGTGCGGCTAGGGTTCGATTAATAGAAGCTGTCGGTCTCATATTCTCTCACAAACGCATGCAGCATGTAGGCAATAGCGTCACACTGCACTATGTCCACCATTCCAAGTGTGCAAGCGACGAAAATAGGGGCCACATAGCACAGTCCATAGTGATCTCAGAAGCAAGCATCCGAGTTCCTCTACCGGGAAACATGGTTGAGATGAGGTAAAGGA